AGATAGATAGATAGATAGATAGATAGATAGATAGATAGATAGATAGATAGATAGAGAACGGGAGAAAAAGAGTGAGGGAGAGAGAGCAAGAGAGAGGGAGATAGTGAGAGAGACACAGAGAGAGAGAGAGAGAGAGAGAGAGAGAGAGAGAGAGAGAGAGAGAGAGGAGAGATATATGGGGGTGACCTAAGTGGGAGAAGGTTAAAGTTAAAGTAAAGGCACTACCGTGAGAGGCTATCTATTAAAAGAAAGCCCCTTTTCAGTCTGAGATGCATTATTCAAATTGAGAGAATCATAGCTCTGAGATTCAAGCCCTTTATTGCACCCTGTTATAACTGTTGACAGTGATCGATCAGGTGGTCCTGTGCAAAACAACTCAACCTCCTTCTGCAAAACCCAAGTTCTTTGAGGTGTGAAGAGATTGTCGTACGTTTATGGTTCCATTGCAGCATTTGGTCGCTGGTGTTGCACAGACTCCCGATGTGTCTCTTTCTTTTTCCATCGATTTCGTAAAGCAATATTCCTTAACGCTGCCTTGGAGAACTGTAGCAGTTATGGTGTCAGCCACTCAAAATTACAACTTAAAATGAATTATTGATGATTTTTTGTTTTGGTTTTCTATAAAGAAAAGTAGAGTTGTATACCCATTTTGGTGAAAACGCACATGGGTCAGAGCCACACTGGTCCTGATTCAGTTACGAGAAAATGACCTAAATCCTTGAACCTTTGGCGTCCACAGCACTGGCAGTGTACTTTCACTTCAGGACGTCTTCTAAATCCCACAGGACTGTATTATAGAGCCGCGACCTTTTTACACCGTTGTAAAGGATTTTATTGAGCATTGTGTTTCGTTGCAACCTTAAGACTGCACGCATTGTAAATCCCTGGAAATCTTGCACCAAGACTATGGCTTTTGTCTCTAACTTGACTTAACTCTATTGTCGAATGACCTTTCGTGTGAGTTTATTTTTGTTGTTGCTTTCTATGCTACTGTGATAATTATTTTCTCTGACTCTATTTTTTCAAACTTTATTTTTTTCATGATGTATCCTTGACCCAACAAGTTTTTTTTTTTCTCTTTAGTTTTATGATAACAGTCTCCCTTCTTTCGCTTTGCCTCTCATATAGTGTGAGTTGCATTTTGGAGCAAACTTACGTTTTAGAGGAATTTTCCCATTTCCCCTGCAACTACAACTATGCCCGTCATTTTACCACGTAGTACACAGTATTCGAGATACTCAAAATTATGATTATGACCATTTGAATCGATACCAATCCAAAGTCCACCTTGGTCAGGTCCACCTTTGTGACGTAGCTCTGGGGAGACACATGCATCTGGTTTGTGGTTGGCGCGTGTTCTGGTGTGGTTTGCTCATTCTTTCTTATCAAACATCTATAATCTTTACTACCTATCCTCCTTCTTTTCGTTGCATGTTACTGTCTGGTAACAGACCTAATCTTTGACACTTGTATGACCAATTTGTGTTGCAAGTACCCATAAACTCTTAATAAAACTAAAATCCAGCAGTGAAGGCCTGCCAGTTCGTCTAGACGCTGGGAAGTAAAATTTATCGAGTATTTTTGTATTTCTGCATGGATACTTTATCCCACTCTGCCAGGCTTGAAATTAACCTGCGGGGTCGATCAGCCCACCTCCAAAATGGCCTACATTGGCCAACTCAAAAAGTATTGGATAGATCCCAGCAGTAAAAAACAAAACAAAACAACAAAAAAACAACAACAACAAAAACACAGACACCCCCCCCCCAAAAAAAAACCCAACAACAACCCAACAACAACCAACAACC